AAACACGGACTGCGTAGTTGAAATCACGTGCAAATCATACATACATTTCTTCTTTTGCCATGCGTATATGGATCCATGTTGCACTGCAAATGAGACACACTGTACCGCTGTTGAACATCAGTAAGCCAGAAACATTAATCAACATCCTCTGGTAGCTCAGTTGGTAGAGCGGTGGACTGTAGTTGGTAACAGAGTGTCAGTAATCCATAGGTCGCTGGTTCAAATCCGGCCCAGAGGAACATTTTGTTGAAAAACTTTATTTGAGTAATATATCAACATAAAACGACGCTTAATGTTTTACATTTGCCTTCATCTGTTTATTTGAAACTGAAAAAAAAATTGACAGGTAGTTCGTTCTGCTCCTGTCATCAAGAGATTCACACAACTTAGTCAGTTTGTCCAGTGGAAAAACTAGTTTCAATCCCCGAGTCCAATGAACCCAACTAACTATTTTGTATGACGAAAGAAGGATCACCTTCCAGAAAGCAGAATGTTTTCTTTTCAAATTTTTTATATGTTAAATGAATAGATGAGAAAATCTTTGGTTTGTGACGTTGCACCAACCAAACTCCTGTCCAGCATCACGCCAAAGTCCTCCAAAATCGTTTTAGTTTTTCGTTAGAAGATTCTGTATCCAGACCGCAACATTTAAAGGTCAAAAGATCTCGGAATTTCCTGTTTTTATTAGGCTGGTTAGTAAAGGAATGCCACATACTAGACACATATGGTATTATCACCGCCTCGGTGCAATCAGCAGTTTCGTAGAAATTCTATTCCATGAATTGTAATCTCTTATAGAGATGCCGTCTTTTTAGTAACTGCTCGTAAACCACACAAAGCAGGCCATCATTACGGGATACCAAGATTTAGGTTCTTGATAGTAGATTAGGGGTAATCCAAATTCTTAAACGAATTCCAGACTTACGTATATTTTTAATTCATCCGGTTCAGCTATGAATTAAAAGTAGTTTTGGTTCTATTCAGATATTAATCAATAGGAGGATTAACTCCGTACGTAAATGAAGTTATTGTCCATGGAGATAAAAGAACAGCCTATTTGGCTGTGACGTTTCAAATAGGCTTGTGTACGCAAATGATGCTCCAGAAATGTAAATACCTTACAGTTTCTACAACAAAAATAATCAGCTCAAATAAGTCACCGTCTTCAAGTTACAATGAAGCTACCTCCAAAGTAGTGCGAGTTTTAGAGACAGACAAAAAGATCCCAACGTCGCAAAATTTATATTAAAATTAAAATGAGAGAAACATAGATTAATTTTATTACTTGCGTCCTCTTGCAAGGCTGTAGAGCCCCCCCCCCCCCCCACCGTACTAGTATTCACCAACTATTTACAGTTTCTGCGGCAGTATCCGGTTTTAATTCCAGCCCATTATAACATTTTAATCGACCATTTATGGTAATCTCCCTTCGAACCGTAGCAAAACGGCAGAAAGATGTTCGTAGTATAGGCTATACACGTTATGATACACACCAGGAACATCACAGTAAACTGAATCAACACTCTGCTGCAAGATCACCTTGAAAATGCAGTTAAAGTCAGATAATCTGCCAAAATGGACTGCTAAAATAAACACTCTTAGCCAAACATCCTTACGCTTATAAAGTTTGTATTTCTAGCGGAAACTATAAAAAAGAGGAACACATGAATGGCTGTGCACATGGTACAATTTATTTATACGTGTTCTGCAAATAGACACAAACACTGTCAAAGTAAAGTAAAAAAGTTTACTAAGAGCGCCCCTGAACTGTTAACAGAACATCCGAAACGCAAATGAAGCATTACGCAGTTTGATTACACGAAAGTCCATGAACCAGCGAGATTAAAAAAAACTTCCCCAAGTTTCTCTGACTGGCGAACATTTTGGAATTAGTTCGCAAAACTGAGGTCATTACATTTGGTAAGTAATTTACTTATATTAAAACTCGTATGTTTCTTCCAGTGGTAACTACATGTACCACGTGCAAATATCGGCAATTTTGCCCACAACGGGTATGTATGGATTTCTCAGAATAAACAGTGATTATTTCCGTAAGGAGCATTAACAAATTTATCTCTATAATGGCAACGGGTACTATCTTTCTCTCATCATTATTCAATATTATTTAAAACCGCTTCCACTTTAAAGTGGCAACTCCAATAGATTAGTGAGCTATTGAACCCTGAACAGTGAAAAAAAGGTCTTCAGTCAACTGCTTTAAGAAAATTACTTTAACAATGGAAAACATACAAATAACAGAGATGTATTCATTTGTAAAAAAATACATCCGCCCGTGACAGTGTTTTACCACTGCCGTGACCAGGATTCGAACCTGGGTTATTGCGGCCACAACGCAATGTCCTAACCACTAGACGATCACGGCTATTGCGGATGATATTGGTGCCAACACATGAAAGGTATACTACATCTTCAATCAATATAAGTGTATATTCTTAAAATTTTGTTTATCGTGTAGTGTATTCATTCATTAATAAGAAATGTGTATTACTATATCCTGTCTTATTACATATTTTTTAAAGAATTACTGTTGCCACATTAGTATTAAACAGTGCATTTATTACATAAGTGGCTCTCAATCAGCGTGGCATATGTAACATTCCAACAGTATGGAATGATTGGTGCATTGGGCCAAAATATGCGACGCAAACATATTTTTGCTTACCTGCAACAAAAATGATGAATACACAATAAGAAAAGGACTTGATTTCATTCTCCATTGCCATTTCATCCCAATAGGCGCTGCTGTGGTGGATTTACGAACTTAAAAATATTGCACAACAAATGAAGGAAGAAATGGCGTTTGCGATTATGATTTGTGAGGAATTTGGTATTCAGTACTAGATTTAGGGAGAAAATGTCTGGTATGCAGAGTGAGAGTCAAAGCGAGAAAGAACCAGAATTTGATTGGTTACAACTTCGTACTGAAATCGATAGTCAACATTCTGATGTGTCAGCCCAAGATAAGTTGCTACGGAAAGTGAAAGAAAACCCACTCGTTCCTATAGGTATTTATACAACATAACCTAACTTGTAGCTAGCTACTATTGTTATGCTTGGATATTAATCAATGAGCTATCAAGGTTCATTTTAATTTAAGATTTACATATATTAATGATTAATTGAAAGTAATGTCATATAATTTTAGGTTGTTTGGCAACATTTGGTGCTCTGTCTTATGGCTTGTGGAGCTTCAGAAAGGGGAGACATCAGATGTCACAATACATGATGAGATTACGAATAGCTGCTCAGGGTTTTACAATTGTGGCAATGATGGTAGGAATTGCTGCTAGTGCGACACGCAGCAAGGAATGATGGGATTGTGTTGTTGCAAACTGTAAGTGATGTCTTACATCAATATGTATATTCTTATATAGTGCACTGAAAATGTATGTAACATAAACAAGTTGCATCTCACGCATATACCATTTGTACCTCACTGATTTATATCCTTAAGCTTGGTTACTTCATTTCATAGAACAATTTCACGTACGCCACAGTTTTTATCCATCCTGTATGTTGTGTCACTGTTTCACATACATGACCACCAATATTCATTTTCATAGCTTGTGCAACTGTATTTATTGAATCATTTTTGTTCTACTAGAACATTTTACATTACTGTGTGGTGATGGAACCACATATTTCAACACTGCTGAAACTGCAGTCCATATCTAAGACTTATCCTCAAAAACTATAGTCCACTTCATGCTTTAATTTCAAATTTTCATAAAATCCATCCCAACTCCTCATCTACCAAAATTCTGTAAGGACTCTGTGTGCCCCTTTCATATTATGTCTATCACACTGCAAACTCTCTGATATGTATACTCTTAACTGCAATGGGGATGTTGTGTTTTTATTATTGGTAAATTACATCACAAATCAACAGTTTAATTATAGTAAGATATGAGGTTTTCACAGCGGTGAGTATGAAGATTTCTGGGTTGTTGCGCCGTGTAGTATGGTAGATGTTAACCAACATTTCAGAGGTCATACTGCCTCCGTCAGACAGAAATCTTCAGTTTAATTATAGGGTGAATAGCAGGATACATATTTCTTCATCATAACACACAAGATTCTGCAAGAACTTATGGCATCTGTAAGATAAGGGGTGGAGTAGGAGGATGGAAAAGTTTATAAATATTTGACTTCAATAAAGAACTCAATGAAAGAAAGAAAAATCTTTTTACTCTTATTCAAAATGTACACATGTGACCACAGCACAAGTAATATTTTCAAAATTACCTGTAGAACAAAACTGCAGTCATAGATGCAAATAATGAAAAGTTCCATTAAATCATACTGAACACCAGTGACTGCTTTTGAAGTGCAATGGCTAATATTAATGACAGGATATTTCTACCAACATTCTACAAATTTATACTTATAATTAAATAGAAATTATCTTAGTTTACTACATTGCATTATCTCTGCATTGCATACATTTAAATACTTCTTTCAACACATTTATATAAAAAGACATTTAGTTTACTTTCCTATAAAATAAATGAAAAATATGATTTAAGTCACATATCTTTATTTAGATGTCTTTTTAACAATATTTTTATGACTGTCATCATTGCCTTGCTTGTCACATTCACGTCAAAGAATTTCCTACGATTAACATCCACACAAGGCAGAAGGTGAAGTTCAGTTCCACATCCAAATACAAACTGTGTTGACAGAATACTTGGAACGCTGATATAAAACTACTGTACCTTAGAAATTATAAATTTAAATTAGGGATAAATGAACCGTTAAACACATCAGCTCAGTGCAGTAATACAAACAGCAACACATCTACTCCAAGTAAGATTAAATGACGCAGGTACAATCTTCAATCCTGGCAGTTCCGTGAAAATGGCCAGTGTGTTCGAACAGTTCCTCCACCCAACCTTCCTTTGTTGCTGCCACCTGAGCTATGGGAACGTTCTCGAAATGTGGGCGAAGAAGAAGATGAGGCACATGAACTCAGACTTGTTGATGGAGTCATTCCAAAAATTTCCTGCACTGTTGGTCGATGATATTCACTGGATACAGATTCTGTAAATAGAAATATTCAGATTCGTAACAGAAGTGAAAGTTGATTTTTATTACCTATTGCAACATGGAGTAATAAGTGTATTTGTTGGATCCTCTGTATTGTACGCTGCAGAATGAAATTATTGGCTACTTACACAGTTGTAGTTATTTCATATTTTGGTGCAGTTTTGAATAAAAGAAATGATTTTAAGATGGAAAGGTGTATTCAACAGAGTACACATAAGTTCTAAAGAGAGTTACAGGAACAAACACATCATCAGACATAAAGCTATAATGGCAACCAGAAATTTCAGTCCCTACTGCAACGGAAACTCGTCATTTACAAAGACCTTTAGTAGAACAGGTAATTAAAGAGATGAATTTGTTAATACTTTTGGAACATACCTCTTATACTCTCCTACTTTGCTACAGGATGCAACAGACACACTGACATTATGGCAGTCAGAAAACTCAGTCTGTACCACAACACATGACCATTACGTATGATCTGAAACTTTCATGGCGACTGAGTATAATGAATTATTCTCGGGCTACTACCTTACACCGCTGGTATTCCGAGAATTCATTACACATCACCATTACCAAGATAAATGTGTTAATACTGTTGGGATTTAAACTTCATATACTTCTAGCCACTGACAGGTGACAGTATGAACAGTTCATATGGCCCTGTTTCAAGCCAGATGAATCCAACTGTCACTAATACTGGAAAATGAACAATTTTTTTCTGATGGTCTGTATGGAACACAATGTTAAAACAAATTTCTGAGTGATATTTCAGGTTCTTGTGGTGGTGAGTATGAAGATGGCTGTCTTCTGGGTTGTTGTCAGGAAGATGATTTTTGAGGCAGCAAGCACCTCTTAAATGCCAGTAAACTTTTACGAGACTAGACTACACAACAGCCCAAAGACAGCCATCTTCAAGATCTATGATCTTTTACTGAAAATACTTTACCCATCTGAATTTACTTAACATACTGGAAATCTCTGATGTTCATTAGCTCTGTCAACAAAAAATTAATCTGAACAATTTATCATACCTATAAGAGGTGTCTCATCATACAGTGAACCTCCTCGCAGTTGTCGAGTGAAGGAATGCCTTGCAGAACCAGGTGACTGAATTTCCATAATTTTTTCTGCTGCATGCTTCCACCTGTATATGATGTAATCAATAATCACAAATAACACACTGTTTACAGTAAAACCTTACAAGCAGCAAAATTCAAAGCACAACAATTCTCAGCATTTGGAGATTTTTCTACAGACATTAAGCCCTATACCAGAGGTTCTGTCACAGAAATCCAAAATGAATCTATTATGTCTTTATAGAAGCTAAGATTTTCACCTTCTTTCTGGATGATACAAAAATTGAATTTTTCCAGGCACTAGATTTCTTTGCATCACTATAAATCTGTTAACACTTAATTTATGAATACCACAAGCTTCAGTCTTGACACTTTGAGAAATTAAGTTTGCCATTTTCATCTTTTAGATGCATACTTTATGAAGAAACTTGAGACTTCTTAGCTGGACAATACACCCCATGCAATGTGCAAGAATTTCTAGAAGATCACTGCCCAGATCATTGAGATGGTCACCTGATATAATGCCAAGTGACCCTGAAAGCTGTAAAGCCACTTTACACTCATCTTATAGTGTTGTACAGTAATAATGTAATGTACAATTTAGTTATGATGCAGAACGGAAGAACCTAGGGGTTAGTGACACAATGCAGGAAGGGAAATATGGTAATTAGATCACATATCAGATGTCACATAGAAATGAACAGCTGACTTACCTCACATGATCCTTAGCATGCTGAACAAGACACCTTAGCCACTTCTGCTGATCATCCACTGTCTTTGTTCGGATCACTGAAATTTCATCCTTACCCTCGCAGAAGTTTGATATTGTAATTTCCTTGGTTACTGATTTACTAGGCTGTATCACAGTTTCCTGTAATTGCAAGTAAACAATAATTTAATGTTTAGGATTATCATTATTAATATAGTGCAGCTATGCTGGCGGTAGCATAGCTACTGGTAGGGCCTCCCTAGCCAGATTGGTCGAGGGGGAGAGGTCAGACTAAGACAGGTACCCTGGTCCTCCAGGTTGGGGGTTGGTCGCAAGGCTAACAACCTTGCACCGTAAAAAGGAAGATGTTTCGAAATCTCAATCAAAGCCTCGGACAGACAGACCCAACAGAGGACCGAATGGAAGAGGAGAATTGAGGAGGCAATGGACCGAATACGGACCGGAGAGCCATAGAAGAAGAAGAATATAGTGCAGACATAGTAATGTAGTATTATGAAGTCTCATTTAATGTCATAAAACATTCAAGTTGCCTATGCATCATGCTACGAAGACAGTCTGAAATAACTAGCAGCACATATAAGTAGGATTACCAAAGTGATAGGTAAGTACTAACCCTGTCCACTACAATAGACCTAACAGGGTCTTGGCCTTGCTCCCATTGTTCCCGTTTGACCCACAAGTCAAGTCGAAAGGCCTGCAACTGGCCCCACATGGAAACCCACTGCCTGGCTGCATCACTGTCTAGCAACATCAGATCTCCTGAGCAGCTCTCCTGTGATACACAGTCAGGTTGAGCAGCTAAGCGGCAGCAGAAGTGGCCAAATAAAGGTAGCTGGTGACTGCGGTTTTCTAAAATCATAATCAAGCACATAAAAAATTATGCTCTATAAAGGAACACACTCATTCCACCAACAGAATTGCAGTGCATCCACCTGATATAGCTGATAGTCTTGACTCACCTAAGTTTTCCACCTGCATGTCATGTGTATGAATGCTGTCATGAACGTCGTCCAGCGACAATCGAGCTGTAGCCATCAGCTCGAAGTGTGGACCTCTACAAACAAAGGAAAAATACTATGAACTGAGTGTTTATTAGACATTTCCGATACAAGAACACTTATGATACACGCAAATTAAGAGCACGCTAACCACTAGTGTTCTGAGGGCAAAACAAGCAGACCTACAGCTAGCATAATATTCATCACACTCACATCTTGCCAGTGTTGAGTTCATCACGAAGGGAAGCGGCAAGTTTTTTTCCGACAGTTCGACTAATGGAACTGTGGATTGTCTTCTTGATCTTGCGGGGCGTGCTGGCAATGCTCATGTCATCCTGCAGAATATGACTGTACACCTCCAACCGGAACTCGAAGTCAGAAGGAATCTGATTGCTGCAAAGCACAATACAGGGGTAATGTGGAACAGATACATCTACCAGGAATCTCATGCACTGGATCAGCACTTCAAAGATATCACTTTTAGATAAGAAACAAAGACTATGTTCATAATAGCCTTCGCAGCAAAGTGTGTAATATTTGCAGAAAATAATGATGATGGACTTCCAGAAGTTCTATGGAGAAAATACATGTAACAGGAAATTTCAGATTTCCTTATGAATGTCGTCTAAAAACAAATTTCCTACTACGATTATATAGATCATTAACTCTTTTCCCCAGTAAGAAACTCATTTCTTTCTAGACTCTTTGGTAGGCTTTAAAAAGGTACTGCATTTTAAATGTACACTGCTTCAATTCTTGTGTATAATAGAAAATCTACCATGTTTTGTTTCGGGTCTTAGTGTATAATTTTAAAGGCCAGAAAGGTTCTATATACAGTAATATGCTCAGCAAATAAAAAAAGGGGGAAGGAGAAATGGCTATGGTCTATTCTAAGGTACAATCCGAGCAGTCACATGGAGAGACTTGGTAAAACCACAGTGCGTAGGATAAATGACAAACTAATGCTGATTTTGAATTGCTGATACTCAAGACAAACAAAAGCAAGTGGCATGAATACTTACAAGATGAGTACATCAGGAAAAGTGAGGTCAGTAAGGGAGCGATCAACGGGGCAGAGTAGTGTTGTGTCGTATATCTCGGTTCCAATGCGTGCAAGGCAGAATACTGCAAAGCGACGGTAGTCACCCTTGTTCTTGAAATGGTCCGTGTCCCTCCAGATGAGTGGCATCCTTAAGTCAGACAATGACACACGAGCCATACAGGGCTGACAACCATACCTGGAAAAACAGTTACAGCCATCAGCACCTAGTACTCATGGTAGGTAACATGACTGCCAGGACACACAAAACCAAATACAAGAAATATTGTAAATGCCTGTGAAATTTATCGGGTTCTCATGGCAGCAAGTATGAAGATGGCCATCTTCTGGGATGATTTGCTGTGTAGTCTGGTAGAAGTTTCCCATTGTTTCAGAGGTGCTTACTGATTCCATCATCAGGACAAACAGGTGACCCATAATTCTGATGATGCAGGCAGTAAGAAGAATTTCATGGGACAAGGCAATTTATTTAACATATTGAATTTTTTTCATAAATTAAAGACAGCTATTTTATTTAAAGTAAGAAACAGGATGAGATAACAAATGCATTTGAATTTTTTCATAAATCAAAGACAACTATTTTATTTAAATTAAGAAACAGGATGAGATAACAAATGCATACGGAATTTTGGCCACAAAACCTGAAGGAAAGTCACTTGGAAAACCTAGGTGTCTGTGGGAGGGCACTTTCTTCTCTGCGGATATGAAAGCATGAAGTGCACGCCTTAATTTCACACTGATACAGACAGGAAATGTGCAGGACAGAAACCATTCGAACGTCAGTTATCAGCAATATCATGTTCTCAGACAGTAAACGTGACCGTGTCATCAGAGAGATCCTGGCGCAGTGTCAGGATTCTTGACCGATCGTCAGAATGATGGTGGCATTCTGTATCATGTTTCGCGGTGGTTTCCTAGGCCGTGTAAATGTTCTTAAAATCCGTTCAGCAGCTTTTGAATTTGTTACATGGGACAAACAGACAGTGAAGCCAAAAGCGCATTTCCGCAAAGTTCAGTTGGGAGTCCTCTAGCAGCACATCGCGAAGATGTTATTTTCATACAGTGACTCAACAACACACGCAGCTTAACTATGCTATACACCAGAAAGCGCTCACTACCTGGCAGACTAAGCTGCTTGCTTGTGTATACCACATTCTTTTACACTTCCAGTATGTCAACAGCAAGAGATTGTGAGGTGACAGTGTGCGTCTTTTTAGGGTGTGTGCCGTTCTACCTTAATAGAGAAGGTCACTATCACTCAGCTAGTCAAGATATTACTAGTCTTTTATGCAACACTACGGTTTATTACCGTCCAAACGACAGCAGACTATTCTGAGCCAGATGAATCCAGTACATACCCTCAGACACTTTTTCTACCAGATCAATCCAAATATTGTCCTCGCTTCTGCGCCGAAGTTTTAAGTGGTCTTTTCCTATAGTCTTTCTGATCAACATATTTATAATGCACATTTCTCATCTCACCATAATTAACTATTTCCTCAACACAGCATAAAACGCCTCTCACTGCAGAATAATTTTTGCCACAATCTCCCTGCTAAGACATCATCGGCGCCAGAATAGCTCAGTCAGTACAGTGGTCAGACCAAGGGTTGGAAGACAAGGGTTCAGTTCCAGCAGGAGTCGATCCAACGGCTACCGGGCGTCTTTCCTGGCACCCGCCTCAATCCATTGCCGAGGTTAAGAATGCATGGCGTTATACGTCTCTGTGTGGGGTGGTTCTTAGGTAAGTAAAAGAGACAAGTTTACTTCTGATGACTGTCTTCTGGGTTGCAGCGCCGTGTAGGTCCTTGCTGCCTCCATTATCAGGATGATGAAACGGTAAACTTCTACCAGACTACACGCCGTGAGAACCTAAAATCCTACTAAGTTTACCTCTGTTTAGATGTGATGTTAATGTGTACTGCGAGGAACTACAGACTGGCAGTTTATTTAAATGGACTAAGCAAGGACACTGACGAACCGAAACAAACCTAAAATTCCAATATTACAGAGGTTTCTTAAATTTCTATTTCGACATGCGTCAGGCCTCCTGGGACAAAGGATCAAAACATAGCAACGCCTGTACTTTTGGAAAATAAATAGAGACAACAGACAAAACACGTGTTCTTCGAGCACGATTCGAATCAACAACCCCAGAGCTCAGTGCGCAAGACCGCGCAGCTATCGAGATCGGCACGTATTTGTTATAATCAAAGCAATTAATGGTTTTATCCGCAACTCTGAAAATACCAAAGACGTGTTTATTAACTGCAGGTCTGAGTTCAAGGATGAACACGGAGAACTTAGCAAACTAGCACTGCGCACACGCACAGACATCCAGACTGCGTCGTCTGACGAAGACGAAAATATGTCCATAATCAAAGGCAGCCGTGAAGACGGGTCGTGCATAAAATTAGCGACTTGGCACGAGGGGTGGGCTATTTTTGGCGCCACCCACGAGCACCAAGAAGGAAAGTAGGCGGCACAACCTCACAGTGGAGGTGCAAATGCCCGTTCAACGACGTATATTTTCCGTCCCTTGCACCAACAAATATTATATTATTTATTCCGTCTGAATTCAACGGGTTTGATATCTCGCTTAATCAGCACAAATATCGATAACAGAAACCTGCAGGTTCTCGGCGGTGTATTCTTGGATTCAGTTGTACTTCGGCAACCGTACCCTTTGACGCAGAAGGCTAGTCTTAATGTTATTTAAATATCCAGTCCTTACCTCAAATAAAACAAAACTCATAACCATTACAAAGATTAAATGGTTAATGCTATTTAAGGAAATAATCGATGTTTATTGTTAAAATCATATTAAACCGATTAATACCTAACGCATAATTGTTTATTTTTTAAACCAAGCGACACATCAAGTTACCACAAGGCTTTAAATGGATGAACTAGCGATTCTCACGAGAAATTGCATCTGAGCTGTTTGATTATCGTGTTCGGGTGTAAGTCTGAATACATGAATCTGTAACATGCGTTGAGTCAAAATCACTGCGGTCAAAAAATTTAGAAGTCTAAACAGCGCAGAATGCTTCTACAAATCGTATACAAACCTTGAAGCAGCCTAGATTCTAGCAGCAGTGTTCAATATGCAACCCGCGTTGCATGACATCACGTCGGTGGACCAAGACGTGACATCCGCAGGGAACAACACCGCCTATTTCTTACGTCAGTTCATTCTACGAAATCATTCGAAAATGTGACAAAATTCAAATACGACAGTCGGACAAACCAAATTGCATTTTCAAATAAGTTAAGATTAGATTAAATTCTGAAGACTAAATCCATGAAGTTAATAAGATAAACCTGTTACACTGACCAATTTATATGCCCTCTTTGGTATTAAATTTAAACAAAATAGATCAAACGCGTCGTTCGTTTGTACAACTGAATGCAGGGTCAATGCAAGGGCATTTGGGACCCTAGGAGAGCATTCATCCTTGGGCACCTCTTCCCCCAACTAACTTCCTAAAATTAATTTTGCGCATTAGTATGAATAAAAATGTGCCGATTTGTCACATTGTCGATTTCACTACACACACAGATATTAGAATACAATACCAAGTACTGCTGGAGACATAGTACAAAGTCGCGAACACATTTATTTTTTTCTGGTCTTATCTATATATTTATAAACACATATTATATTTTATAATATTTCGCTTAATTTTTTATTCATTCTGTCCTCCAACCAATTTTGTCGCCCTAGGCGACAACCTATGTTGCCTAGTGGTTAAACCGACTGTGATTGTACGGTAAGGTAAGCTAACCTAACCCAACCTACCGTAAAACAGCAAAACGTTGTAATATGGCATAAAAGATACCGGAGGTACAAAACAGACAGGACCTCAGTATTAACGTATTTCTCTCGGGATTGCAGTACAACTCCAAGGAGTTTCAGCCCTTCTTCAGGAATTAAAAGTGAAGAAACCCAAACTTATTACGTAACCAGATGATTCAGAACTGTGTTCTTAAGAGCCCGCAACTGGATCCCATCTTTAACAAAATTAATTCAGTCCACACCCTCCTATAATAATACAGTCTACAACATTCTAGTCACGGAACTGCTTTTTACGAATGGATATGAATTCCACTTTACAGCTCACTTTTACCATCTCGTCTGGATCCTAATTATGCGACTGGGAGTGACAGAACTTCTAATGCCTCCATTTTTGTCCACGTTTCTGACAAGGAGAACAGGAATTCGCTTTACGGATATTAATATTCACACTAGCATTAAGTCCTTCTAGCACGTATCACGTAATCGTCAAACGGGACGTGTCGTCCGAGTCCCGGCAAACAAACACTACTCGCCCAATGACGCATCTACGATTCCTTTCCGACAGGATGCAATTTGCAGAATGCCACTACCATAACGTTAAACTCAAGTTTATGTGGAATACATGTTATTACAAACCAGACTTACAACTGGGGCATAGCTATTAAACCAATACGCCTATCTGGCGTGAAGAAAACTCAGTTGCATAAGTCTAAGTTAAAGTTTATATTAACTGTTTAGTGAGGTGACAGCCAAGAATAACCAATACCGTGGAGTCCAATGATGGTTTCTGGGATGTGGCGCAGTGCAGTCTTACCGACGTTTCCGAAGTGCTTGCTGCCTTATCAGGAACCTCACCCAGTGGAGCCTACGTTAAAGCTATCAACAAATACCAAACTACTATGAAAGCTTACTAAAGAGATTCACAAAACAATTACGTCGCTGATATATTTATTTATCCTTTTGAACACAGATTTTTTTAAACTGAATCTGCCATAAATATATTCATGTCGCTCCACGAACTACAGGGGGATCAACCCGAAATGAATCAAACACGGTTGATCTACTGTCAGTCACATCGAACTGACGATAGAGACTTCTGTCTCTGGAACGTCGGAAAATCAGGCTGCCACAACATGGCTCTTCTAAGAAGAAGAAGAAGAAGAAGAAGAAAATTACAAACGTCCCAGGAAACCACTGTGAAAACAGACGACTGTCTTCTGCGTTGTAGCGCCGTGTAGTCTGGTAGAAGTTTACCAGAGTTTCAGAGGCCCTTGCTGCCTCCATCATCTGGGTCAAAGTACACGGCGCTATAACATAGAAGGCAGCCATCTTCATATTCGAAGCCACATCCCCGAAAATGATACGTACCCTAGCCCTCTGGATGGTGCCTCCTTCTTCCGCCGCTGCAACTCCGCCATGTAGGCCGACATACGCTCGTTGGAGGTAAGGAGGTTCTTGGCCGCCTCCAAGGTTTGCGTCTGGTGACGACAGGCGGCCAGCAGTTTGGTCGTACCCTCGCGCATCTTGATTTCCAGGTCAATTTTCTGCTCCAGATCATATTCCTGCAATAAACGGTTTCCATTACACATATATTAACTACCTATATGAAACAGAATCCTCCCTGTGAAGCTAATTGTCGCTCAGCTGGTCACATTTTATGAAACCAGAAAGTTCTCTACAACAGGTCGCCATCAGACCCTATCCAGAGCAAAATGAATTCTGTACACTCCTCGCGTGCTCTTTCTCTAATATCCATTTTGCAATTGTTTGGACCGCAAGGTTCTGTTCCCCGAAGTTACGAGAAAGGAAATAGAGTCAGATTCTCAGGACGATCAACAGATCACATGCTCTGAGTATGATTGAAACCCGCGATCTCAATGTTCAACTAGTTTCAGACCTGAAGCGACCAGCATCGATACCGTGGCACCATAATTATGTCGGAATTAACAACACATCTGTATCACTTCTTCAATTAATAGTTGGCAGACACTCTTATTACAAATTAATCATCACCCAAAGGTCGCAAATTATGAAGTACACGTCATGATATTATGAACTAGCAGACGATAAAGCAGTTCGTTAACATGGTCTTGTCCTTGCTAATGTCAAGTTCACAGTGACTCTATGTTAGGAATGCCCCGTCCTGACAGATTTAAAGCGACGCAACCTCGCAATCTGTTAAAATAGTATATTTACAAACAAATAACCTACAAGGTTGTACTATTAACGAATTGTAGTAGAACTTGATATTCGACATAGTGACCATCAGAGGCTGACACTGGACTCGACCCTGAGCCAAAACATATTTATTACTAAATCTTCAAAAATCAATTTTAATAGCATCACCGTTTCTCCCCAGACTTCTAATTGGCCACCCTCCAATATATTTTCCCGCCAAACTTCACACACTTTTTAGTCGATTTTACGGCCTACACGTCCGGCACTTCCCAACAGATTATCCTGACATTCCTTAAATGAGACTTGTTCAGTGGAGCCCTAATGTTCACAACCGCCTTCACAACAGCCCGCATGTCCGAACAACTGTAACATTTCATAGCATGCTAGTTCAATTATTAACGGGACATCATGTCTGTGAGTGTAGAATGATGTGATTGTTAACGAATAATGTATTATAAAGGAATCGCAAGGAAGCTGTTAACCTGGAACATAGCAAATACGAATTAAAACTATTAATCATTTGACCGCGACAACGAATAAAACACAACACCGCGTTAAATGCAGATCTAAGATGACACAGGGATTTTGGTACATTACCTCTGAACTGGCCGTCATCACAAAGCAGCCGTTCTTCTGTTCCTTTGCAAACAATGAATGAAGATGAATAAGAATGCGGTTTGACTACAGAAACTTCAAATCCTCAGTGATACGTCAGTCTAAAACAGACATTTTAGGCCTTGACATTGACACTTATTGAGTCTCCTGGTGCTTACAAACCGAAGAGTCGAACGCGCCTCCCTGGTCTAAATGTCCGGTTTCGGCTTACACTCTATCCAATCTACAAATTCTATTTCTTACATTTCCTATTTCTATCTACAGACTACATCCGCTCGCACCCAACCTTTCCAGTCCACCAATTTGTGTCTTTCGCTCTTATTAACTAATCTTCCCATTCCTCTTTGTACTTTTTTAAAAAATATAGTGTAAATATGGACCGACAACAATGGTCAGCTTTTATATGAACTCCTGCGTGCAATGTTATGTTACCTAAGAAACTAATTGCTATGTCATCTGTTTACTCGGCATTGCTGTGTTACATTATTGCCGTCAACAATCCGCTTTCGTTATTGCGGAAAGAGCTGAGCTGTGAATCGGTTATAGAAGAAGTGCATCGTGGACTAGATACTTTTGTGCTGGTAAAAGCGTTTTAGAATATCACAAGTACTTATCTTATACAAGAATTATTACATTGTATTACAGAGACGTATTTACGTCAGATTATCCAGAACCTTTTAATTACAATTTCTGGATCAATATTTGTAAATATTTCTTCTACGAACTCAAATCTCAAAATCTGGCTCCATCTTTCCTCTTTACTGCATATAGGACACATCCCCCGATCAATATTGAAATGCGATGAGAAAAAAATCCAAATGTATGTGACAATCGATTATATGAATTTGAGAAATCGGGATATCGATTTCACTACTTATGAATCCAGATTTTCCACTCATACGAACAAAAAATAAAGCCGCAATGGTATAACTGTTAGGCCACTTCGTTTACTGGAGAATTACTATAACAAAAGCCACAAAAAAATCTAAATCGATAAAGAAAAACAGCGTCGATACGACAAACAGCACAGAAGCAGGCCAACATCAACTCACGGCTTCATATGAGACAGTGGAGAGCCTTGTTGTGGCGGTACAGTGCACTCAAAGGGGCGGCGAAACAAAAACAGCGACCAGTGATGCCAACACCCTTCCCAGACGAATGAAACGGCCTATATTCGGTATCCAGACACAGCCAAGCAAGGAAAAGATAAAGTCATCTTTGTGCATTTTGAGCTTACGGCACTGTAGTAATAGTCAAAAAGGACGCTTCAATATTACTAGCTAAACAGTATACTCCAGGGGAGCCAAAGTCATGCATATTTCATGTAATGTCCGCAGGGGTTACAGTTCTTATGAGTCAGCCACTACCGCGGATGGCAAATGGCGGAAACATGCAGGAATGACCAAAGTTAGGAACCGTTGCACATACAAAGAACGTTCAACTACAACAGCTCAACTGTCGTAAAGTATCATTTCGGGGAGAGGAAACCTGAAAATCCATTAACATTTAGTACAGAAATTAAAATATCAAATCTGTTCCTGCCATATCTACTCCTACACCACCAATGTTTACCACCTTAATTTCATCAGAAACAACATTCATTCTCTGTTGTCACGCACATTTCCCTGTGTGTGTGTGTGTGGGGGGGGGGGCCTTGAACCTTTAACCAAATGCCGAGGTACAGCCTACTTGAAAACCAAAAGCGCTCGTCTTTGGCGCTGTGCATTTTCGGCTTCCAAATGAATGACTGTACGCCTTCATGCATCTCGTACCAGACCTACTATTCGACGTCACTATATAAATTTCATACATTACAATGATCAACTGGCTATCACCACAGCACAATAGTCCCTGAAGTCATAATACTGTTTCCCACCCGGGGCCACAACGTCCGGAGACCGGCTCTGGGACCCACCAGGCCTCATCCAATGGACACCGGGGTTATTTCGTTCGTGGTAAAGCAACCAGGGCGGACGGAATCGGCAGGGAGTGACATGAAAGGCGGAGATGAGAAATACAAAAGATTTTGGTTGGAGAGTCTGCATGGAAGACAGCACTGGGAAGATATAAGCGTAGATGGGAGGACAATATTAAAAAGGGTCTTGAGGAAATCGGGCGGGCAAGGCGGTGTGGACTAGATTCATGTAAAGACGCTAATGAACCTTCGCGTTCCATAAAATGCGGGAATTTCTTGATTAGCAGAGCGACCATCATCTTCTCGAGGCGGAATCTGCTCCATGCTAGTTGGGTCACGAAGAAAGACAGGCAGGCCCACATAAATGCTCAACGGGGTAATAACCACCACCACACGAAAATCGTACACCCGCATCAAAGGCTGATTTCAATGTTCTGAAATATGTCTTCCTATCACAGAGTTACAACTGGCTCTACACTGGGTTTCGACAACGAAGAACAAAATAGAACAGGGCGGATAATAATCGTGTCATTTAGACCTATTACATCACCATGCTCGTCTGGCGGTTTACCAGCAGGGATCCTGTAATTGAGGAAATGGCGCCTGAAACTGCACACCCCCCTTCGCCATTATTATTATCTCGGGCAACGAACTCAAAGCCCGCGAATACGACCACTACAGTTAACAAACAACCTACATTTTATCTGAACAATCAACAGACTGTTTAATGATGCCTACTACGATTTGAAGGTTAAAATATATTTGTTAAAGTTATGCAGTCGTCTGAAACAAGTTTAAAAAGTGTCACGGTTTATTTAACGACCTTGTATCATATTCAGTGACTTCACAATAAAAGAAAACCTGAACAAAAGAGACTAGTTGGGAGAATTTTGTGTGTATGAGAGGATAACATTGCGACGGATCTTGAGGAAACAGGGTATGACAATGCATGCAGTAATCATCTGGCTCACGACAGTGTAAAATGGCGGGTTCTTGTGAAGACGGTAAAAAAATATTTGTGTCCCACAAAAGAGGATGTGACAATTTCGTGATTAGCCTGCTTTCTAAAGCGTGCTGACAAATATTTTAACGCAGTACGTCAATGTAAAGCATTAGCTCATACGTACAGATGGACACAGACATGCCTGAGGTTCATTGCACTCGTCAGCTTTACAAACACGGAGAACCTGCCAATGAAATCAACAATTTGCATACGCCATTCACAACTGAAATATTCTGACAAATGCAATGAGGTATTGTGAAGTATCTATACAGGTCGGAGGCTCGGAACATTAACATAAATTATAAATTCTGAACCTAAAAGGAAGACACACCGAGTCCATTTCTTTTACTGTATTTATAGGCTGGCTAATTATCAAAGCTACAACTGAAATTATATGACCATTTCCACCTTATAACAGACGCCGTCACGAAATGATAATTTGAATTTGACTCATTTTACCATGTCATCAGGAATGTCAAGTAGTGAATGGATAATAACTTTCAATTATGAAGTGATGTTGAAGTGTTCGTGGTCTATTTTATGCAAACAAACAGTTTTTTCCTGTAAGATCAGAGGAAGAACACAAAATGCGAAATCAGGCTAGATTGTCAAGATTCGAACCCGGTATCTACCAAATACGAATATTAGCCACTACACCACAAAGCCACTGCCGGATAATTTCAAAGATCGTGTGTAGCAGAAAATATGTTGCAACATATTAACCAGCCTTTGCACAACATACCGACTTCCAAGAGTTCTTACTTATACAATGTAAACTACTACTACTCCTTCAGCGGGTGATACACATCGTATATCGCTGTTTGTCTTCAAGGAGGGAAGCCTTCTATCCC